CCAAACCCCACACGTCAGTGACAGCAGCCGCAGATCGCACCCGCCCTCCCTACCCGCCGCCCGAGCCAGCAACCGCCTCCCCCTCGCCGTGCCCGGGACCCCCCCGCCCCGCCGTGAGGTTTATACAGAGTTTGCGAGTCAACTCGCGCCACCGCGCCACCGCCACCGCCACCACGCGCGCGGAGACGTCTCCCCCCCAGGGCGGTTGTGACGTGGCGTGGTCTGGTCTCCGCGCGGTTCCACTCCGGCGGGGCGGGCCGATTTGGCGGGTCAAGGGATGGGAGATCTGGCGGCGGGCGGGAGATGGTGAGCGCCAGCACTAGCCGGAGCGGCTCGGGTCGCGTCGCTCGGCAGGGCGGCGGCGGCGCCCTGCCCGGGAGCCCGCGGGTGTCCGCGGCGGCGGCGGCGGCGCAGCGCAGGTGGTGGGGGGCCTCGGGCCCGTCGCTGGAGCGAGTCGCCCTCGCCTTCTGCGTCGCCTCCGTGGCGCTCGCGCTCTCCTGCGCGCTCTACCTCTACGTCCTCCGCTACCTGGGGCGGGGGCAGGCCGTCGCCGGGTTCGTCGGGGAGGACCTCGGGGCGTGCGACGTGTTCGACGGCAACTGGGTCCCCGACGCGACCTACCCGCTCTACAACAGCTCCGAGTGCCCGTTCGCGGAGAAGGGGTTCAACTGCCTGGCCAACGGCAGGGAGGACACCGGCTACCTCAAATGGCGGTGGAGGCCGCGCCGCTGCGACGTGCCGAGGTTCACCGCCGGCGCCGCGCTCGAGCGGCTCAGGGGGAAGCGTGTCGTCTTCGTCGGGGACTCCATGAGCCGCACGCAGTGGGAGTCCTTCATCTGCATGCTCATGCCCGGGGTGGAGGATCCCAAGACCGTCTACGAGGTGAACGGGAACGAGATCAGCAAGACCATACGGTTCCTCGGGGTGCGGTTCGCGTCATTCGACCTCACTGTGGAATTCTTCCGGTCCGTGTTCCTTGTCGAGCAGCGCCCTGCGCCCAGGCATGCGCCCAAGAGGGTCAAATCGACCCTGAGGCTGGACAAGATGGATAATATCAGTCGGAAATGGGTGAACGCCGATGTTCTGATTTTCAACACCGGGCACTGGTGGACTCCCACCAAATTGTTTAATACGTAAGATTTCTTGCTCTGTTTTGCTATGCTCGTTTAGTTCTAATTCTAACCATGATAAATGTGTGTTTTCAGTACTGTATAAGTATCTTGTTCATCTTCTCATATTTCACTAAAATCGTATTTAATGCGTGTGTATATGTAATTAGTTGAATTGGGCACAAAAACAGTATGAATAGGTAATACAAACTCCATTCAATGATGTTTCCTACTTTAAGTATTTGTATCCCAAGGATCCATTTGCCATCCCTGTGGATTATGAATTTGGTTAAGTTTGTTTTAGGTAACTGGGTGTTTGGCTACCTGTTTTTTTTTCCTATCAAGTTGCAAACAAATACTCCCTCCGTTCCAATATAGATGACTCAACTTTATATTAACTTTAATACAAAGTTAGTATAAAGTTGGGTCATCTATTTTAGAACGGAGGGAGTATGTATCTGCATTCCTGAACATATGAGATGAAATTTGAGAGGAAAAACATTTAATTCACTTTTACTTAGCAGATTAATAGGATTTTGTACAACTTCTTTCTGATATCAACTTAAAAAATTAAGTACAGCGAGAACAACACAACAACCGCTAGCTTGAGCCTAACTCAGCTCTTGATTGCTTCTATGCACCTCAAATCAAATGTATACATGGAAATGAGAGGAAAATGACAATGTCACGGTTATACTCATCTCCTGTTCTAACAGTGAGACACCAGTTATTTTCATATTCTAGCAATGCCATGGTTCTAAAATCATGGAAACGAGAGGAAAATAGCAATGCCATGGTTACTCATATTCTATTCTAACAGCAAGATGCCGCTTAGGTGCGAATATGAACAGCAAATTTGGTACTGGGATGGGATGAGTTGTGCTAATAAGTCAGAGGGGAACAGAATGTGTAAATGGAAGAACCAATTAAGAAATAGTAAGACGGGGAAAATTTTACGATTAGCCATCCCTTCATGCATCTCACATTGCCCTTCCCAGTTGATCTAGCTCATAAAGTTCCTCTCACAAACCTAAGCACTAGTTCCACCAGTCGTGATCCATCCCCTTACCCTTCTTCAGTTTCCCAACGTTTTAACCTTATTGGCCTTCACTAGCTTCTTTTATGCCAAGCTGAGCAGAAAGCTGCAAAACAGTGTCCTGCCCCTAGCCTATTCCTGCTCATAACAGGCATGGGCGTGACATTGGTTAAGCAGGGGCTAATGGTAATGGCATTGCTAATTGACAATATGAACAGGTGATGACTTAGCAGATGCTGTTTGCTGGATGTTATGTGTCTGCCATTCAGCATGCTTTTCTTTTTCAAGTTAGTGGTTAGCTAGTTTCTGGTAATAGTGGGGACATTACATAGTTTTTGTGATATTTGGCCAGAAACTAGTACACAATTACCCAAGTTATTATTTCCTTGTTCAAACATCAACTCATTGACTACTAGCACAACCTTTTTTCCTCTCTAAATCATATTCATCATTATTTACATATGTAAATTAAATCAAACTTAAGAGTATCCTAGTTTGACCGAAGTCCGAGTTTTATCTGACTTGTTCTTCCCAACAGGGGTTGCTATTTTCAGGCTGGACGTGCTCTCAAACTAGGTACAACCATTGATGCTGCTTTCAGGATGGCACTGCAGACTTGGGCTTCTTGGGTGGAAAAAAGAGTTGATCTAAACCGAACGCATGTGTTCTTCCGCACATATGAGCCATCTCATTGGAGGTGTGTTTTATTATAAACATACAGAGAGAGTTCTTCTCTTGCGTACAGCCTACTTTACTTTATCTTTCATCAGTATAATTTGAAGTTATATTTAAATTTAGTATACTGTGCAGGCAGTTTAATCATAAGAAACTTTGTGAAAATGTTTTTGATTTATTTTTGTAATTGTTAGAAAAGGGATACAGATCATTTATGATTGCCTGATATATGATAGTGAACAGAAATATCTTTACATTATATATAAAATTTAGGTCTTGACGATCTTTATCTGCATCCAAACACCACAAGGTCCAAAATATCTAAATAAGGCACCCATCTAAACTAAAATCCTACTGTATTAGTTATATTTTGATACGAGTATAAAACGTCTTATATTTTGATACAGAGCGAGTAGATAATTGCACCGATTTAATTAGTATGGTATGAAATATGTGGCTGATATCTCTGTCAATTTAACCAAAACATGCATTCCATGTGTCATCTGTCCAATTTCGAATTTACACTCTGTTATACAATGTCGATACAGACGTGGCTCTTTGAGCTCCACCGAGGCATATATAGCAACTTGATTTCACCAAATCCCAACTCTGTGTATAAGGACTAGCCTTTTCTTCTTTTATTTAATGTTTGAGGGAACATGTAAGATTAGCAACTTATATTAGGCTACAGCTGTCCCTGATTCAAAATTATTTCATACACTTCATTATATCAATTGAAGAAACTCGTTGTTATGATAGTATGTTTTATTCTGGAGCAAGGGGGGACATCACATGTCTGCACAGTTTCACTGAGAATCTTGTGTTTGTATATTCCTTAAGGTCCAGGATCAAATTGTGGTTCTATTGCATTGGGTCCACCATCTGGTTACACCACTTCATTTGAAGTAGTCGAATGCTGTTTGCAAAATACCAACTTCATTTCTCCTGTTCTCACAATTCTTTCCTCGCTCTGCTGTATCTTTTCTCTAAGAACTAACAAAAACTTGTCCGATGTTACAGTGACTTGAACCAAACAATATGTGAAGTAACAGAAAAGCCTTCACCTGAGGCCAAAGGAAACGACAAGAGTGAACTTGGGGATATACTTGGTGATGTTGTGGCGAGAATGAATGTTCCTATTACTGTTCTAAATGTAACTTTGATGGGAGCCTTCAGAACAGATGCTCATGTTGGCGCTTGGAGTTATCCTCCCACTATACTTGATTGCAGTCACTGGTGTCTCCCTGGAGTTCCAGATGCTTGGAATGAACTAGTATTTTCATACCTTTTTACAAATGGTGAGTTCGCATTTATGCTAATGTGTATCTTCATTTCTCTGACTACTAGAAAGTATATATCACTAGAGAGAGAGAAAAATCCATATCACAATTTGCTCTCTCATAATGACAGTGTTCAGTTTATCCCCTTTCCACCCACTGCATCTGCAGTGATATAAAGTTTCCGAGACTTCATATGCAATGAATAAGCATTTGTCAACCATACACAACCACAATGGGTCACATGACCAGAGAATTCACACTTATACTCAAAGCAGATTGTGTAGAATGTTATAGTTAACCCCGTGATAACCTAGTGAAGGAAGTCAAATGACCAAGTGACTCTTATCGACTGTATCTTTGGTAGTGCTTCAGAAGAAGTCAAATAACCTAGCGACTCTTATCAACTGTATCTTTGGTAGTGCTTCAGAAAATTTTACTCCAAGCTGATCATTAAATTGTACCGATGCAGTTGAACATGTTCATTGTTATTGGATGATGAGTTGACCTTTCTTCATGTCTGAAATCCACAGGTTGGCGAAAGATGGCAGGGTGACTGACTCATTTTTCTTCTTTTGCCCCATACGTACATTCCCATCTTTGGTTTTGTCAGCTATAGAAGAGCAACAGATGCCCTGGGAATAGCTGAGTATGATAGGTGGTTTAACTGGACCTCTGCATTCTTTTCTCTCTTGTACAAGGTGATGCATTCATTCCAAGGTGTAGATTCTGTATCGGTCCTTCAGATTGTCGATGGAAAGAAAGCATCGCATTTTGTGTATGCTTCTTACAATTCAATTTATACGTTGTGAAAACATGTGCTTCAGTCTGTATGTACTAACAGTTCACGTCACACATTGTATAAATATATATATATGTGTGTGTGTTCTTTGTCACGATGAGCGCAAAAAGTTTGTACCTACGTATGTTTTTTTCCTCACTGACTTGTACATAGTTAAATTCTAAATTCTGGACACGGTATAATGATCAGTTGGTGCCCAGGGATATGATTTGCTCCAAACCACCAAGTTAAATTTCTGGGTATGGAATTCAGTTGATGCGCAGGAATATGTCAAACATGTTGATATATTTTTGTATGGACTTGGGCAAACTTAAAGAAGTTTTAGTTAGGACAAAATTAGAGCTTCAGTAATTTGGAACGGGAGAGAGTACCACTGCCATTAGCTTTCCTTGTCGTGAAAAAACATTCCGTGTTCTTAGTAAGAGAATTTACATACACAGATAACTTATTAGCTAAACCAACCCAAAAGAATTGTTGGCCACCGCCAAGGCTCAGAGCTGCAGCCAGGAGGACGGCAACAGAGGAGGGTTTGTATTTGTGTAGGGAAGGCCCTAAGCATAGCTACCTATACAAGCTGCTGCTATGCAGGTACGGTGCTATACATATGATGAAGCTTTTCTTCTGTATAAATATCTCGGGCTATCTACACAGCTCACGAGCTTGACAAGCTCATCGTCGCAGGCGTCGCCGGCGCGGGGTTGCTCTTGGTCTGGTTCTTCGCCTCGCCCCAGTGCCACAGCATGCTCTCCCAGAAGCAGAACTTCTCGAAGCAGGTCTTGAGCCTCGGATCGGTGATGTTCCGCCGCCAATGCCCGTCCTCCAGGTTCGCCTTCTCCGCCTGCCTCCGGTCCCACTCCAGGCCGGCCTTCTGCCTCGTCCTCAGAAGGCAGTAGGACTGGAGCTTCCGGGGCATCTTGTCGTGCGTCTTCCACCACCGGCTGTGCGCGACGTCGCTTGCGAATTCACGCATCATGAAGTTGTTCCAGTTGCAGTCATAGTCCCTGAAGCACAGCCATGGCTTCAGGCCCAGGTAGTGAAGCACATAGAGGTTCGGCGGGTCGGCGCCAAACAGCTGGGTCTTCTTCGCCTTGGCCTCCTCGCTGTCGCCCTCCCAGAAGTGCTTCAGGAAGTTCATGTGCTTGGGGATGCGGTGCCACCATGTGAATATCTCGTTCAGGTACCCCTGGTCACCGCCGTTGTACGACGTGATCTCGTTGATGTGCTCCATCAGCAGCTGGAACGTGCAGTTTGAGGGCTCGATCACCATGACGCCGGAGTTGAAGAGGGTTGCGTTGTTGCCGGTCGCGGTGATCTCTGGCATTGCGAACAGGAAGTCCACATTCCTCAGGATGAGGAGGTCAGCATCTATGAATATGATCTTGTCGTAGTCGGTCAGCTGCCATAACCTGAACTTGCTGTAGTTCCACTCATTGTAGGCATCACGCTCAGCTTTTGGATTCCTGATCCTTTCAATTATTCTGACCTTCCAGCCTGCGGCTTCCAAGCCTCTCCGGTGGTGATCACTTATGGTGTTATCAACAAGGATGACCAAGTCCCTGGTCGACCCTGCTTGCCTGATGCTCTGAGCTGCTGTGATAGCACCACATACATATTCACTTGCTGAATGCAGTATCGTCGCATATGCTTCTCTTCTTCGGTCTACTGAGAAAAGTCTTGCTGCACCAGTAAGAATAGATGTTATCTACTGAATTATAATCTTATGCTGAAAACAAGTACTCCCTCCATTCGGAATTACTTGTCGCGAAAATGGATGTATCTAGACGTATTTTAGTTCTAGATACATCCATTTCTGAGACAAGTAATTCCGAATGGAGGGAGTAAAATCTAACAAGGCCCATTCTACTGAATGTTTATCTTATTCAGGGAAGTATTAAAATCTAACAAGGCCCCTTCTATATGGATTCCTAGAGAATAGACCTAGTACAAGTATCCAAAAAAAATCAATGTGTTGAACTTTTCTGACAGAATTAGATGCTATTTTTGCTGAAAATAGTTGCACTGGATATCATATTTTAGAGCATGATGTGCATATTTTACTCGGTTTTAAGAAGAATAGACTGAACATTAACTAAAAAGCAACAAACCTTTTGCTTTAAGTGGAATAGCAAGCTCGCATGATCCAACAGGAAGCCTAAGCTTTTCCCTTACTGCTTTCAAATCAGGTCTATACAACCAGGCATTGCCTTCATGTTTCACAAGGTTCTTGCAGGGGAAGAGGTTGGGGATGGGGAAGCAGTCCGTCACAAAGAGGACATGGACCTTCCGGTTGCCTCTTGAAGAGGCCACGGCCAGTTTTGCCGCCGAGAGCTGCAAATGAAGCCTTGCAACATCTCTCGACCAACCCGCCACCCTCGTACAGGGAAGTTTCACAGCAATAACATCAAACCATGCACCTCTTCGGCCATTAGGCTCTGGAAATGATGGGCAGGAAGGTATCTCAGATTCCTCCTCCTCATCTATCCATTCAGGATATAGTTTAGGCCAAGTAATGCTGTCCTTGGCATGCTCAAGTCTTACAATCGAAACATGGCTTTCGGGGAGTATGCGCGACCAAGAGCCATACTCGGTGCTGTTAAAATTCAGGAGTCCAATTTTGAGCTCCCGGTTACCAGCACTAACATCTTCTATAGCTGTATATACATCGGCCCACTGAACATCAGCAGATGAAACGTATCGCGGATCAGCACCTGTTTTGTCCCATATCCAGTCAACATCAACATACCTGCAAAGCATATATGAAATTGTGTGAGATAGTAGTTATAGTCTACATCAGTGGCGGAGCTAAACAGGAATCTCAGGGGTGGGTGTGGGGCAAAGCCAAAATATGAGCAACTAGAAGGTCAAAGAATTGAATTTTTCCTTTGCTAAGCCCTGCATAGTAAAATTTCTTCATTGTTTTGCCTAAGGCTGGGGGGGCACGGCCCCCTCAGACTTGCCTAACGTGTCGCAAATAGTTTGCTGAGATTTGTTTGAATGATTTATACTCACCGAGAACTTGATTGTAGTTGGCGCTCGTACAGTGTCGGAGTCAGGAGGGTAAGAAATGTCGCAGAAACAATAGCTATAAGCAAGTACCGCAAGGATTTGAACTTGCAACCGCAGTTCTTCTCAAGGACAAGAACTTCATAGTTCTCAACATCTTTGAAACTTTTGCTTTTGGTGGCCCTTCTCTTAGTTGTGTCATCACTGCATAAGGTAGTAATAAAATCAGTGAGTAACTGCTATAAAAAAAATCTGACATGAAAGAACTATGCTTGTCTAAAACAGGAAAAGGTGCAGAAGAAAAATATCCTTAGTTTGGAGTACCATTGAAAACAATTGATTAGTTCTTGATTCACAAGACAGGTTATGATGTTACTAAGTATATGTCCTTTTCTTGCTTTTCACTTTTATTTTCAATCATAATCTTTTGACGAAAAGATTTTCATCATAATCTTGGGCCGGTTAACTAGGATTTGTAGGGCACATGTGGCGAGCTCTCAAAGGGAAAGCAGTTATGCTTTAACCAAAAAGGTTAGAAGCACAAACGCAAGCTGCATCAGCGTCGCAAATCTCTCATAGATGTCTCTAGAAACAACCGCAAGGATACAACAGCTACACCAGTAGAAAGCAACAATTTCAGGCTCCTGCTTTCTTCTTAATAATTAGTTCAACAAGATAGACTAGGCGATTGCTTTTTATACAGGTAGTGCTACCACATCATCCTTTAAGCTTTGCTAGAAATCAAAATAAGTGGAATGCTGATAGGCCTGGCCCCCTTTATGGGCCAAAAAATACACATAACTGTCCCATTGGAGGTGTCCAAAAGTGTGCCCTTTTTAAAGGGAGGAAAATGCAGTATATCCGATCGCTGGATGCGAAAGGGAGCCGCACCAGAAAATGTTTGCCAGTCCACAGAGAGGCCCAAAGAAACTAGTGTCACCAGCACCAAGGAAAACTCCAAAGTTTTGTGTGTGCCGACTCGTATTTTGCGATTCTCCTAGCCCTATCTTTCAGGGATTGAAAGCGTCGCCATAGTTTATTGCCGATCACATGGGTGACTTTGTACCTGACAACTGACAAATCTTTGATCGGATCAAATTCAGGGAAGCATGGCTGGCTGTTTGGTACGCAGTTGCGAAGCACAACTTGGAACCTTCAGCCATGAGCCTTACTGCACACTAGTGTTCGTTTAAAAATGAAGTTCAGAGTTGAGACTGACAGGAGACGATCCAAATATGCTGAAATCAGCGGCCGGCAGCAAACGCCATGGCCGGCAACGGCATCCCCGCCGGCAGCAGTGCCAGGAGAAGAAGCCATGAACCGGGCTGAAAGGAAGCTGATGCGTCCATGGATGAATTCATGGAGCAGCCTCCAAGTCCACGGGGGTCAACGCGGCAGGGGCTCAGGGGGGGAGGGCAAGAACACCGCCAATGCGGGTAACTAACTCTTAACTGGCATGAAAAGATCCCCCGTAATGCGAGATTACGAAGCGCGCAGCTACCAACCACTACACCACCGCCGGCCGGCAGCAATAAAAGGGGAAGCGACACGTCGCGGTCGGGTCCGCTGGGGTCGATCTAATGCAGCATGCGGTGGCGCCGTCGGCGGGCAGTCGAAGCGCGCGAGCAGCGCGGCCATGGAACAAGAAAGAGGAAAGAACTTTGGACTATAATTATTAAACGAAACGGCGCGGGCGGGGTCGCGGGGAATCTTACGCGGCCGCGGCCGGTCGGTGGCGCTGCTCCATTGGG